GCTCGGCTTGGAGCATCTACACCGTTGATCGTGGGTTGTTGAATCGATCTACGAAAGCTATTGCCCTCCCGGAAACTCGCTCTCACCTATTGCATCAGCGCATCTGTTGATTCGACCAGCTGGACGGCCTCCTTGAAGTCTTGTAATCGCATGCGTCATGCATAGTACTTGAGACATGTGACATATTTGTCGAGTCATTCCGCATCGCCCATATCGTCCACTTGGTCGACCAAAGCGCAAAATGTCGCAGTGTAGTCTTACACCGATTTCGGCTAATTCTATGCGCGCAGCATCATGTGAGCACAACTCGAGGCAAATACATGCTCGAATCTTGGTCGCAAGGCAGCGCCCCACTCCTTCCATGTGCGTATCATAGCCACTATGAAGATTGATGTTGCTCGTTTCTTGACAAGTATCAAAGCCCCGTCGTTCGCACGTGTTGTTCTTGCCGAAGTCCTATCAGATATCAAAGTGATAATACAAAACCAATGCGAGCGGCATCGTCATTAACATTAGCAGCAATAAAAGCACCTCAATGTTGAAAAGCCACCCTGAAACAATGATAAAGTTGCTACTTAAGTTAAACTTGAGCAAGTTCATTGACTTGATCTTTACGGTTGTTGCAATTGTTGCTGCTACAGTTGGTGTTGCCTGCATCATGCTACATCAATCGACTCTTGAAGCTCGCTCAACACGGTGTCACTAGCTGAGATGCTCCCGTATTCTTCGTCGACCCCTAACGCTCTTCACCACGCAACTGGTATAGCTCGGCGCTTTCCCCACGCAGTCGCTCGACCTCCATCGTCAGTGTCTACATGCTTGACCACATCACCTGAAATTATTGCATCATGTCGTCCAGTGCTGTCTGGTCCATGTTACTCAAGCTTCTCTGAACTGGCAGGGGGGGGATTAGCGTTTCTTATTACATTGATGAAAGCACAAACTCTATCATAGGCGGAGTGAAATAATCGTATATGTGTTACAGACCAACCGTTTTGTTGCCCACCAGGTCTATCACCCCCCTTCCTTAGACCACCCCGGAAACGCAAGAGTAATGTTGGAAAGTAGTTTTGATACCAAGCGTTATGCGTTGTCAAAGAAGAGAATGCATACACTTCAATATCGAAGAAGTGATTATATGTAGTAATTGAAGAAATGGCCCTAAACCCTAAACCCTAGCGAATTAGGCGTTGTCTTCGGGGCCGCAAATGTTGGGTGCTGGTTCTGGGTTGTGAAACCCAAAGGCGACTCGAAGTACGTTCGGGAGGCGAGGTCATCGGACCAAGCCCGTTCTTTCGAATATTGGGGTCGTACGGGTATGTCGTGACCCAAAAAGGAATTAAGAAAATCTCGTCCATAGAGAGACAAATATGATTCAAACGATATGTGGAATATACATATATACAAGACCACGAAGATTTTCACGCGGAAAATCACTGGAAGGAATACGGACCCATGGAGGGTGCATTGTTAAGTGCGTATTCCTTGTGCTACGGTACTGTTTTGTTGAGAGGCACAGCTGCGCAGCATATCCGATTTCGAACGAGAACATTGCAAAGTTTCCACGCAGGGACCCATTAGATTCCTCCGCATAATTCATGGCCAAGCATCCAGCTCAACAGATTTTTCTTCGACGCCCAACCCGAACCTATGTTGGCATCTTCGCAATCTTTCGAAATTATCTACAGACCTGAACTGTGTGAAGCCGCGTTTTTCTGCTGTGTTTTCGCTTCCGTGGTGTCACAAGAACCAATGTCTTGTCACACTGTTTTCGGATTGGATTCGTGATTGCTTTGGCAGCTGGAGCAAGAGCTGTCAGTCTGGCCCATGCTTGTGGCTGGTGCTAGAAGTTCTCTCCAATTCTGCAGGTCTCATGGGCTGCTGGTGCCTTCAGATGCACCCATCCATCCTGGAAAAATGGAATGCCAAAACACGCGTGACACGTCTCAGAGACGAATGGATGTTTTCAAACCTCCCATGGATGCTGCATGTTTCAACTAGTAACGGTTCCCACGCCCTAGCAATCTTAGCAGCAACAAAGAAGTGCAATGTTTTTATCAGTGAGTCTCAATTGCGAGATTTCGTTGCTGTAATGGTAGTATCATAGTACCTGTATATTCCGCCGCTAGTACTCGACATGTTTCATGAGCTAGTTTGCAGATTCATCTAGTTGTTTGCCGACCAAAGCTCTGAGCAAACGACAGGTTAGCCGCTGGCACTCTTGGGTTACAAGGACACTCAATCATTGCCATTAAGAACAACTCTAGAAAACTTATCCAGAGAGGTCTAAGAAGGAAAACCCAGTCAAGCTTTGCACAACTTGTAGTTTTGGCCGCTTGTGACAAAACATCCCTTTCTGTTTCGTAATTAAACCAACTCCGTAACTTTTTATTTCACTATGTAAAAAAAAAAGGTTGTTTTTTTACTCTCCCATTCCTTTTTTTCATAAAGGAACTCCGGCGAGGAGAACTTAAAGCGGAGGTTGGAGTAAATTTTAACTCGTGCCACCACTGGCAGTGGTTGATGTTAAGGGGAATGGAGTGTTGGCCCCGCCCTCGCTTGGGCAACGCCGACGACTTGGTCGGATGTACGGGAGTAGCAGCCGATCGTTCACTGTGGAAGAGCTACTCGATAGGCTTTGTCGAGCTGCAGGGGACCGCTGTGGTGTTGCTGTCGACCAAGGAGCTCGACAGTTGCGATTGACTGGTCTGGGCGACGGGTGTGCCGTCGACCAGGAGGAGCAGTTCGTCCGGGAGGTCGACGGACCACTCCGACGAGTGAGCAGCGGTCGACAAGGGGAGCTCGGCGACAACAGCTGAAAATTCTGATCGACGGAAGGGGTCCGTCGACCAGGGGGTAGCTCGACGGGAGCTGTGGTCGACCAAAGGGACTCGGTGGTCGACCAGAGGCACTTGGTGGTCGACCAGAGCACCTGGGGTTGTCCAGGTAATTTGCTCGGCTAGTTCTGCGTAGGCACGCGAACGTCGTCGAGGTCGCGATGGCAAAGGCGACTTCGGGTTGGTATCCCGAAGTCGATGTGGCTCGTCAGGTGCAGACAACAGCCGACGGATGCACAACGGTGCAAGTCGGGCCAATCGTCTGCACGCACCTGCGAACGTGCGCACTGTTGTCTTCTACGGGGCAACGCTGGACAGCCGTTCTGCTGCAGCGTTGGCACACCGTCGACCTGCTGTGTTGGCAGGTCGCCTTTCTGCAGTGCTGGCACGGCTCCTCTACGCAACGCTGGCAGGAAATCGACCATGCTGTGCTGTCGATTGACAGGGCTAGCTGCAGAGTTGCTAGGTGCCTGATGTAGTCATCCTTGTCATTGCTTGTTTAACAATTCTGTAATTCGAACTTTGCTAGTGAAACTCTTGCCGATTTCTCCCGTGATTGCGCAAGCACTAAGGAACTAGGCAAAACTACGATCACTCCTAGTAGTTCGTGCCAACCCCCGTAGTCTAGCTCACTACCGTTGTAGAGCGAATCTCCGCAGTTGAGACGCCAGTAACTTCTATCGAGTCAGAGGCGCGGCTAGTAGTGTACTAGCTAGCCCTTTTGCTGCTCACAAAGCATGTGGTGGTACTAGTTTCAAGCATTGCCGCATTCCTTGCTTGAGGCATACCTTGTTAGAGTCTCTCGAGTGCTTTGAGAACATCCAATGATGTTCCAACCTCAATATGTTCTAACTCATTAGCTGCGTTAATGATACTCACTTTCTGATGCTCGTGGCTGTTCTGCTTTGGAGAAGAGCGAAGTGCTGAGACGGAAGGTTGAAACCAGCGTGACTTGACAATGGACGGTGGTTAGACATGCATCAGACATCAACTCGTCCATGGCAGCAGCCTACAGACACCAGCAAAAGATCACTGTTGAAAGTTTCAGGAGGGATCAGTATTGGGAGGATCCAAATTGTGTGGATCAGCAAACTCGGTGGATCAGGAGACCTAGCGACTTGAGAAGATAAGATGACCTGACAATCTCTTGAAGAAACTCAATTCCGTGATGAGGAGAAGCAGGTCGATTAGCAAAGATTTGATGGAAGACCAAGAATTGATGGAGCAAGCTATGGCGACTCATCCCGGGGAACCTCCTCAAGAGGATGCCGCGGCGATGATGTTCAACACTGCATTGGTTGATCCGGCATTGGTTGACCCTGCATTGGTTGACCCAGCCTTGGTGTCTCTGGATCAAGCATTGCTGACTCAGTGCATGCTGGACCACCAACGCATGCTGAATCAAAGCGTGTTGAACCAACCGTTGCTGAACCAGACATTGGTGGAACAAGCATTGCTGGACCAATGCACGCAGGGCCAAGTGTTGCTGGATCAAGCAATTCTGAATCAAGCCTTGGCGAACCAAGGCATGCTGGACCAAGCCTTGCTGGACCAGGACATGCTTTCGAGCTTTGCCATGGATCCTTCTTGGATAAACATCCATCACATTCTCACACAATCGTACAACGATGATGGAGCCGCTGCTGCCACAGCAGCAGCAGCAGAAGCAGTGGCAACAGGAGAAGGAGCAGCAGGAGCAGCAGCAGGGGGAGGAGGAGGAGTAGAAGCAGCAGCAGGAGCAGGAGCAGCAGGATCAGCAGCAGCAGGAGCAGCAGCAGGAGCAGCAGCAGCAGCAGGTGCGTCAGAGGAAGGAAGGCAGCAACTGGCAGAAGCAGTGAGCACACCAAAAACCCCTGCTAGCAGTCATACCAGCCGCTATACCTACCCCAGAATCACCATCAGTCCCAGAAGCACCGGCAAGTCAACAAGCATGAGCCATTGCAGAAGCAATAGCAATCTCTTAAACCCAGCAGCGCCGCCGGACCTTCTTTTGGCCAGATCCCTAGTAGGCCAGCCGCCATATCCCCTCATTCAATTGCCATCTCCCCAGATACAGCTGCCGTACCTCCTGATTCAACTAATACATCTCCCAATGACGGACATTCACTGTCTGGAGAAGCTGCGGCAGTGCGTGGTGGTTCAGAAGGGGCAGTGACAGGGGCAATGCGACTGGCTGGGGTAGCCGCAAGACTAGAAACTTCAGTCAACACTGCGGCAGCTGTAGAAGATGTGACCTTAAGGGATGTGACAATAGCAGATATGGAGGAAGGCTATGTGACAGGAGATATGGCAGCAGAGAGTGTGACAGTAGGTGGTTTTAGAGCACCTGCAGTTTCCCCAGTGAAGATGAGGAGAAAGCAGCAGAGGCATCATCCGTATGAGGAGAAAGTATCTGCTGCTGCTGCTGCTGCTGCTGCTGCTCTTGGTTATGCAAGTTTTTCCCCTTATGCGCCTCGCAATGTTGCATCTGCTTCTCCTGATTCTTCTTCCTCATCTGCTTTTGCAGCTTCTACTTCCTCCCTTGCCTCTTCCATGTCTGGCTCTGTCACCGCTACTTCAGGCCACAGCCCCTCTGTCGGTGCCCCTGCTGCTGTTGCTGCTGCTGAGACGAATCAACCGATGGTTGCCGCCGTCACTGCCACTTCACACCAAAGCCCCACCGTCGGTGCCCCTGCTGCTGCTTCCGCTGGCGCAGACGATGCTGCCGCCACTGCTGCTGCTGCTGCTGCCATGTTTGCGTCTCCTGGAACATCAACGGGCACAGCACTGCGTTTAAAAGCCGAGGAGAGAAGTGCAGTGGAAATGCCGCAGCACCAGAAGCAGCAGCAGGAGCCGGAGCCACTGCCGTTGCAGCAGGCGCAAGAGGAAGGGGAGGAGCAGCAGCAGCAGCAGCAGCAGCAGCAGCAGCAGGACTTGCGTCAGGCAGCAGTATCTGCACCACCGGGAGCACCGAGAGCCTCTCCCGTGTCTTGGATGGTGCTGGAGATGGGGAGGGGTTCGATGGGGTGTGAAGAGGTTCTCCTGTATGCGTGCCAGTTCTGCGGCAAGAGATTCGCCCAGCCGCAGGGGCTGGGAGGCCACATGAATGCCCACCGGCGAGGTGAGAAGAACAGATCGAGAACCCTAAACCCCGAATCTTTGTGCAGGAGCATGCCGTTTGGGAGACCTGTATGAGACCTGTATGAGACCTGTATGAGACCTGTATGAGACCTGTGGTAATAAGTCTGGTCACCTGTAGCAGCGAGTGCGTGCATACATTCCATCAATGTGCCGCTCCCTTGTGCGGGTGTGGTAGATTCATTCCTCTCACCTGTGCGTGTGGTGCTGCAATCCATTGATGTGCTATGAAACACCTCTCCACCACTCCCTAACGAACACTCTCTCCGCGTTTCCCTTCACACTGCCTCCAGTCAGAGAGGCAGAGTCCCATCAGCAGGCAGCCCTGCCGCCAGGCGGATCCGCAGGTAACCAGGCACACAGGCAGATCTACCCGGGGCTCTCTCGCTGCCTGCAGCCCAATCGCTGCCTCAGCTTTTCTCACCTTTACACACTCTCTCTCTCTCTGTCTCCCCTCACATGCCCCGCAGACTGAGAGGCAGAGACTCAACAGCAGGCAACCATGCCATCACAGTCCCCAGGCGCACAGGCAGATCCACCCGGGGCTCTCTCACTATCTTTCCCCTGCAAACTCTCTCGTCTCCCTTGCACACTCTCTCCTAGTCTCGCCTGCATACTCTCTCCTTGTCTCGCCTGCACACTCTCTCCTTGTCTCACCTGCATACTCTCTCCTTGTCTCGCCTGCACACTCTCTCCTTGTCTCGCCTGCACACTCTCTCCTTGTCTCCCCTCACACCGACTAACAGATCGAGAGGCAGAGACCGTTCAGCAGGCAACCCTTCCACCACAGCCCCCAGGCGCACAGGTGGATCCACCCGGGGTTCTCTCACCACAGGCAGCCCAGACAGCGCCTGCAGGATAGTCGCTCACTGCAGCCCAATCGCTCACTGCGGCACAGTCGCTCACTGCGGCACAGTCGCTCACTGCGGCACAGTCGCTCACTGCGGCACAGTCACTCACTGTGGCACAATTGTTCACTGCGGCACAATCACTGCCTCCAGCACAACCTCTCACTGCAGCACAGCAGCTGACTGCAGCAGAGTTGTTTGGGATGCGGTACCAACTCCCTGGGACCCCTTTCCAGATACCACTTGATCCTGCTGCTGCTGCTGCTGCTGCTGCTGCTGCTGCTTATTCTGGTGCGGGTTCTGTTTCATTGGTTCCGGGTGCTTCTAGTGCTGCTGCTGGTGCTGGTGCTGGTGCTGATGGTGATGGTCCTGCTGCTGCTGCTGCTGCTGGTGCCTCACGTATGCACCCATTACGCAGTTTCAGCCACGATAATATAAAATTTTCTAGCTCAGCTGCCTCTGCTCCTACTGGTGCGGCTACTACAGGTAGTCCTGGTGCTTCACATATGCACCCACTATTCAGTTTCAGCCACGATGGGATGGAATTTTCCAGCCCAGCTGCCTCTGCTCTTGCTGGTGAAAGTAGCACAGATGCTGGACTTGCTTCACGTATGCACCCACTGTTCAGTCTCACCCATGATGCCAAGGCCTTTTCCAGTGTCACGGCTGCTGCTGCTGCTACTTCTGCTTACTCTGGTGCTGCTGGTTCTAGTGCGTTGCTCCCTCGTGCTGCTGCTGGTGCTGATGGCGCTGGTGCTTCACGTTGGCATCCTCTATTCAGTCTCAGCCATGATGAAAAGGCGTTTTCCACTCTCATGGCTGCTGATTCCTCTTGTGCTGCTGGTGCTGCTGGCGCTACTGTATCGCTCCCTTGTGCTGCTGCTGCTGCTGCTGCTGCTGCTGCTGCTGCTGCTGCTGCTGGTGCTGGTGGCGCTGGAGCTTCACACACGTACCCCGTGCACAGTTTCAGCCATGATGCAATGGCTTATTCTAGCCCCACTGGTACTGCTTCCGCTGGTGCAACTGGTGCTGGTGTGAGCGGCGCTGCTCATCCTACAGGTGGTTATCCTGCCTCTACTGGTTTCAGTGGTGGCTCTGCTTACCCACATGGTGACTCTGCTGCTTTACTCCCCAGCGCTACTGCTGCTTCTGCTGCTGCGGGGGCTTCATCCTTCAACCTCACAGCCCACCTTCCTTTCAGATGGTATGGCAAAGCAGGGTCATTCCCAGGAGCAGACCTATCGGGAAGAACAGGCAGAGTGGAGACTGCTTCTGCTGATGCTGCTGTCTCCTCTTCTTTCGCTGCAGCAGCAGCAGCTGCATCTGGTGCTGTTGTTGAAACTGCTGCTGGGTTGGGTGGTGATGTTCGGTCCTCTCATGCCAGATTAGGCTCGGCAATGGAAGCTGGTTTGGTGGCTGCCAGCTCTGGTTTGGCGACCGGGCCTGGATTCGCTGTGGGTTCTGGTTTTCACGCTGGCGCTGCTGCAGGAACGGCATCAAGGGCGGGGTACAGTGTCAGTTCGGGTGTGAGGCTTAGAGCAGGTGCTGCTAGTGCAGATCATTACCGGCTTTCACCGGTGCTGGTGGGTGCAGAGAGGCATGTTACTCGGTTGGATCAGGAAGAACTCTTACTTGGTGGTGTTGGTGGAGGAGGAAGAGGAGGAGGAGGAGGAGGAGGAGGAGGAGGAGGAGGAGGAGGAGGAGGAGGAGGAGGAGGAGGAGGAATAAGAGAGGGAGTAAGAACAGTAGAGCTCCAATCGTTTCATCCTGCTACAGTTGCAAGCAACCAAGTGTCTGTTCCAGGATTCAAGCCTTCTGGTATGGCCGGACCTTCACCGTGTCTAGCCAGATATCCACCTGGCCTGGCCGGACCTTCGTCTCAGGCATGGCCCCAGCAAACCCCGAGTGCAAGCTTGGCAACGTATCTTGGCATCGAGCCTTCAGCAAGCTCTTTGCAAGGAGATTCACTAAATTCTTTGAAGCAAGGCCATAGAGCCGGATATTTTGGTGTAGGCTCCTTAAGGGATGTGTATTTAATTGGGACAGTTGGTAACCAAGTCGCCGCTGGGGAGAAGTTACGGGAAGAAGAAGGGATAGAGCTTGAATTGGAGCAGCTTCAGAGGGAGTGGAGGATTCAGCTGACTGAGAGGAGAAGGATTATGCAGTTGCAAGGAGAGGGTAGGGAAGGGAGGGAGGATGTTGGGGAAAGTGAGATGGACGTGGAGTTGCCTTTCAATCGGCAGTTGCAAGCTCAAGAAGAAGAGGTGGAGAAAAGTGTAAAGAAGGAGCAGGAGAGTGACAAGGAGTTAATTTAAAATGACGAACTGAGGCATATAGAAATATATATGTAATTGCTCAGTAAAATGAATTTTAGCGTTTGGGTCATTGAAGCAAAGTAGAAATGTCTAAGGAAGTTAATATTAAATTGTTGTAGAGGACTCTCCTCTTCTTTAACATGAACTGGGATTTGAACTAAACAATAGAGCACTCTGTTAGCTTTCCAATGAGCCGTAGATCACCTCGATCGCCTAAGTATCGAGCGAGATATAGGCGTTTATGTGCTAGGTAGTGCTCTTGGAATCAAGGAGAGGAGCTCTCTGGATTTTGTAGTCGAATGTATCACATACAAAGTGATTCTCGTTTTCAGTATGAAAACATGCAAACAAGGCAAACACATTTATAGCTACTCAACACATCGGGTCGCGCATGTAACATCTAGTCACTACGAGATGCATCACGAACATTCGTGTAACAATTCAAAGGGGTGAAATTCAGCACCCGAATTTCACCGAACCGAATTCTTTTAGCGTTTTGATCTGTCCCTGGGGCATGGTTCTCTCCGGGGCTACCTTGGTCCAGGCAAAGACCTGACCTGGGGGGTTCAGGCGGAGCTGGACAAGCCAAAAAAAAAAAAAAAAAAAGGTTGTTGACGCAAAGTAGCTATGTCTAAGAAATCATTCTGTAACGAGTCTTTAGTGAAGCAGAGTTGGTGGTTGGTCATTTTGAATGTCTGCAAAGCAGATCCGCTTCCACGACCAACATGGCGTTTCTGATGCAGTTCACAATAGCTCAGGTCCTTCACGTATACTCACGCCTTTGGCGTTCGTTTCTCGACGCCGGCTCGTCCTTTACCTGTTGCATTTTCGAAACCTTGTGGTTTCATGCCCAACGGACCTTTCACGAATTGGTTCCGGGTTACATGTTATGCCTTTGAACTACCATTTTCATTAGGTGCTCATTTTCAGCGAACTATTTTGGCTTCGCGTATTTTTACTGGGTACTCGTTTTTTCATCGGGCGTTACGTGGAAGCCAGGAGAGATGGAGCTTTCACACGCACTGGACGAGGCTGGTATACTCGACGGCCTATTGGAGGCCGCCACGTCAACAAAGCCACACGTCAGAAATCAGGCGCTTCGCGCGTTGAGCCGTTTCTCCCACTCGGAATATGTCAGTCCACCTTCCCACCCACGCGCTTCCCAAATACCCCCTCTCCCAGTCCCCCTTCCCTTCCCCGGATTTTGCGAGCCCGCTGTTGCTCATTTTTACGTTGGATGTCTTTACATCTAGATTATAGCATTCTGCCTTCCGTTCACCCGTTGCCGTTCTCTCAACCGCTCTGCTTTCCCCACAGACACTCAATTCGCTACTGCTCTGCAATGTCATTTTGCCTCTGTGCAACAACGCCGTGAGAGCACACGTATGTGCACGGGCATTTACCACCCTTGCTTCAATCCCATCACCCCCCCTGCTCCCCAAACAGACACTCAAGTCCCTGCTAATGAGCAAGGGCATTCTGCCTCTGCTCGCACGCTCGCTCTCCAACCTGCCTCCCTTGCCTGTCGCTCGCACTGCTGACACCGGGTCTGGAACTGCTTCTGACGTTGTTGCTGCTTGTGCTGTTGATTGTGCTGACGCCGGGACTGGCTCTCCAGCTGGTCTTGAAGGTGCTGGGGTGGGGCGAGGAGCAAAGGGGGTGGGACAAGGAGCAAGGGGGGAGAGGCAAACGCGGACGGCGGAAGAGCAGCAGCAGCAGCAGCAGCAGCAGCGGGAGCAGGAGAAGGAGGTTGGATTGAGAGAAGGGGACTGTGGCTGTAGGGCGTGCAAGCAGCAGTCGCTGCATGCCACTGTAGCGAGCTGCCTGTGGGGTCTGGCGTGCGCGCACCCAGGGAACAAGCGAAAGGTGGGTGGAGTGGAGAGCGGTGCAATGGGGTGCGATTGGGTTGAGATGGCAGGAGACAGTTGAAGAAGGGTGGAGAGATGTTTTTTGGTTGAGACGGTGAGACAGGTTAAGATGGGTTGAGATGGTGGTGTTGCTAGTGCGAGCTTCCATTGGGACCTGGCATGTGCTCACGGTGTGACTGTGGTGTGACTGTGGTGTGACTGTAGTGTGACTGTGGTGTGACTGTGGTGTGACTGTGGTGTGACTGTGGTCTGATTGTGACTGTGGCGTGATTGTGACTGTGGCGTGATTGTGACTGTGGCGTGATTGTGACTATGGCGTGATTGTGACTGGCGTGATTGTGACTGTGGTGTGACTATGCTGTGACTGTATTTATGCAGAGCAGCTTGGGGAGGAAGGCGTTCTGGACCTGCTCGCTCGGATCCTGCACCACCACTGCCGCCACCATTGGCACCGCACTGATCGCCGCAGTAACTACTTGAATCGCACCCACTGCTGCAATCACCACCAGGCGCCTGCGCGAGAGTGTCGTGCTGCGGAAGTGAAACACGACGGCACCAGGAAAGTCCGCTCGATGCGGGAAGCCTCAAGGCGAGACTACATGAGGCGAGAATACTTGAGGCGGGAAGGCGATGTGTTGGCTCTCAAATACTCCTGCCTCGCTGTGTGGAGCATCTGCTACTCTGTAAGAGCGTTCTTATTAGACACTCTTTTCCATCATTCCGTTCAGTCTGTTTCAAGCAACTAGAGGTCTCCTCATTTGTTATTCTCACTCACTTGTCTTCTCCGCCCACTCTCTCTCCCTCTCTCAGGTTGATTCAAATTGCCTTCGTGCTGAGGCAGCAGGCCTGCTGCCGTTGCTGCTCGCCTTGCTTCACCACCATCGGCCCTCAGTGCAGGTACTCTCACAGCTTCACTCCCACCATCAACCCTCGGCAGGGTGTTTTTGAGAATTCTCAAAAACACCCGGTAGTCTCATCACAACACGTTAATCACCATCAGTGCCTTTGCTGCGCCACTGAGTCAGCAGGCGTGCTGCCATTGCTCCTCGCCCTGCTTCGTCACCATCGGCCCTCAGTGCAGGTACTCTCACTCTCACCGTCCGCCCTCTTTTTCCCCCGTTCTTCCCTTTCCGCCCCTCTTTCCTCTTCCCCAAGCCTTCTCTATTTCCAACTATTGTGTCTCCCCTTTCTCACTCCCCACTTTCTCACTCCCCACTTTCTCACTCCCCACTTTCTCTCTCCCCCCATTCTCTCTCCCTTTGCTCTCTCTCCTCCCACTCTGTCCTCCCTTTTTCCCACACACACACAGTATGCAGCAGCGGGGGCATTGTGGCACATTTCAGCCAATCAGATCCTAGGGCCCGCTCTAATCGTGCACTACAGGTGCCTGCCTCCCCTCCTGAGCCTCCTTGATCAATCTCTGCCCCAGTCAACGCATGTAAACTGCAGTGAGTGCCAGTCAACGCATGTAAACTGCAGTGAGTGCCAGTCAACTCTAGTCAACTGCAGTGAGTGCCAGTCAACGCAGGTCAACGGCAGTGAGTGTGCATTGTTCCAGCAGAATGAAGTTGACCGAAGAGTGAGGGAGAGGGGAGAGCAAGGGGTGGTAGGAGCGAGAGGGGTGGAGAAAGATGAAGAGCGGCGAGATGGGGAAGGAGGTGGAGGCGGAGGAGAGGAGAGAGAGGGAGGAGAGGGAGGAGAGGGCGAGGAGATGGGAAGGAGAAGGAGTAGAGAGCAAGGCGGGGTAGAAGAAGTGGGTACAAGTGAGAGAGAGTATTCCAGGGAAGAAGAGGAGGAAGGGGGGGAAGAAGGGGAGGAGGGAATGGAAGAAGAATCTGAAGAAGGAGAAGAGGAAGAGATGGAAGAGGAAGAGATGGAAGAGGAAGAAGATGAGGAGGAAGAAGAGGGAGAGGATAAAGAGGAGGAAGAGGAGGAGGGGAAGCGAGAAGAGGCTCGGCTGTATGCATGCTTAACTCTTGCTAATCTCTGCCTGGTGCTGGAAGGTACTCAATGCACGTTGGAAGTTGAAGGTACGCAGGAGGACATACAGGATGGCAGTCAACATGCCTTGGCCAATGCTTGTCATTCCGATGTGACAAGTGCAACACATCTCTCTGTGGGCAAGCAAGACACCCTGCCCTCCTCCTCCTATTCCTCGCCTCCCCTCACACAAACACGGCACCTCCTCCTCTCCTCCCCCACACTCCCCGCTATCTCCACTTTCCTCCTCTCCTCCCACCCCGAATCCCTCCCCCTTCACCTCATCTGGACCACCGTCTCTCCGATAGTACGGCTGCTGCGCTGCCACGTGGCGCCGGTCCGAGGGCTGGGAGCGCTGCTGGCTGCTGCAGTGTGCAAGAGCAGGGGAGGCAAGGACGAGCACGGAGCAATGTTCTTCTTAGAAGGGGCTGTGGGGATTCTGATGGAAATGGCGGCTTTTGAGGCGCCTCAGAAGAGGGAGGAGGATGGAGCAATGGCTGAGCACCGTGCTATGGCCATATCAGAGGGGGCTGTGGGGGTTACGGTGCGGACGGTAGAGGAGGTTGGGCCTGGTGGGGTGGAGAGAGAAAAGCAGGAGGAGGAGCAGAGGGAGGAGCAGAAAAGAGCCCAGTGGGAAAAGAAGAGGGGGAAGAAGAGGCAGGAGGAGAGGGCGGAGCAGGAGGGTCGAGTGCGGGTGAAAGCAGCGGAGTTTGCTCGCCTTGCCCTGGGCTACCTCGATGTACCGCTGACCAAGCTGCCCTCTGCGCCTACCAGAGGCACACCCACCAGCATGCCTTGCCGTGAACGGCCTTACCGTGGTGCTGGTGAGGGGCGTGGTGGGACCAGGGAAAGGAGCAGCGTTCCTGGTTTCAGTGAGGGCAGGAGTGAGAGTCTGCCATGTGAGGAGAGGAGCAGCAGTGGCAGCAGCAGCAGCAGCAGCAGCAGCAGCAACAACAACAGCAGCAATAGCAGCAGGGGTGGGGCAAGCAAGGCTGCAGATACCACATCTTGTGTGATCTGCTGTGAGGAGGCGGAGTGCCCCCCCATTGACCCGTGCGGCCATGCTGTTGCTTGCCCCTCCTGCCTCCTCTGCCTCGTCTCCCGGAAACAGCCCTGCCCCATCTGCCGTTCTGCCATTGGTTGACTAGTTCCGTCTGCCAACAGCAGTGGCGGCGGCGACAGCAGCAGCAATTGCAGATGGGGTGGGGTTTAGGGTTTAGAATTTAAGGTTTAGGGTTGCCATTCTGTTGCCTGCTCCTCCTGCTTCCTCTGCCCTGTCACCCGGAGACAGCCCTGTCTCATCTGCCGCTCTGCCATTGGTTGACTGATCTTCGAAATGTTGCTTCTGTGGTAGGTGCGTGCTGCGGTTGGTTCCAGGTGCCGTTTTGACAGCATCCGCAGCAGCTAACCCCAGCAGCATATAACAGCCCTGCCCCACCCCACGCCAAGCCCTTCTCAGTCTCTCATCTGCATGAACCAATCTTGTCCTGTTTCTAAGATCGGCCAGCATGGGTTGACTCTACTAGCTGCAACACCACCTCAAGGTACTCTTATCGGATTGTGTTGTGTTTGTGAGTTGTACAGGGTATGGTAATGCTGATAGCCGAAATTACATTAGTAAGAGTAGCAGTGATGGGATTGGTACACCACTTCTAGTATTGATAATGATATAACTGGTAATGAGGTAGCGTCAACTACAATAATATGAATCTGTACAAAAACACAGACAGGCTTCTGAACCAGATAAAATCTGGTGAGAACCAAGTCGTCTCATGACTCGCGGTTTTGAGTCGCCTCAAATTAATTATGTCAGCCTGTGTACCCTCGGTGTAGCTCCCGCTCCCTCAGGTCCAGGCTGCTAGGTGCTCACATCTCTACTCCAGTGTCTATTCGCGCCAGTTGAGTGCTCTCCGCCGATCCGCTGCTGCTGACTGAGGGGCGGGGGAGGCATGAGTGCGGTGGGGGACGCGTAACTCACTCTCAGTCAATGCGAGACTGTTGCGTGCTCACATCTCTACTCCAGTGTCAATTCGCGACAGTTGAGTGCTCTCCGCCGATCCGCTGCTGCTCACAGAGCGGTGGGGGAGGGGCGGGGCAGCAGCAGAGTGTGTGCGGCGAAGCATTCTGGTGAGAGTGTGCCTGCCGCTGCTGCTGGCGCTGCTGCTAGTGGTGGTGGTGCTGTTGCTGTTTGTGGTGCTGGTGGGAAGAGCAGGATGGAACAGTGCATGCATGTGTGACTGTAAAGGGTGTGTCAGTAGATGGTGTGGCTGTGCAGGGTGTGACTGAAACGGTGGTGGCTGGATCTCCAGCACAATAACCGAGATATCGTCATGGATCTTCCTGCGCTGGGTGCCGAGGGGGAGCGAGGAGAGGGCGGAGGGGTGGGTGCCTGTGTGCTCTGCAGCCCTCTCAATAGCTTCTCTCACCAACCCCTCTGCAATGTTTCCACTACCGTTGCTGCTGTTGCTGTTGTTGTTGCTGCTGCTGCTCGTGCTTTGAGTTACCGCAGGCGGTTTTCGAGAGCTCTCAGTGGCCATCTCAAGAGCTTCTTTCACCAGCCCCCCTGCTATGTTGTTGCTGCTGCTCCTTGTAAATTGGTTGTCTGTTACTGCTGTTTCCGTTACTGGCCCTGCCGCTGATCGTGCTGCACCTGCACCTGCACCTGCACCTGCTGCTGCTCCTGTTACTCTTGCTGCCCCTGCTGCCCCTGCTCCTCCTGCTGCTCCTGCACCTCCTCCCCCACGTCCTCTCTCTTCCCCCACCCCTGTCTCAACCCACTTCTTACTGCCAATCCGAAAGCTTTCCCCCAAAGACATCCCTCTGGTCAGCCTACGAACTCCCGAACCTCCATGTGCCGAACCTAAAATTCCCGAACCTCCATGTGCCGAACCAGCTGCTGCTGGCTGGAGGAAGAATCTGGCTAGGGTGGGTCCGAGGCAGTGGGAAACGTCCTTGGTTTGCATGTGCTGATACAGACCGTCGGATGAGAGGATGAGGAGCCGATCCGACGGTGAGATTCGCACGTGGCGGAGGTGCGGCAAGGAGGAGAGGTATGGTTCCGAAGCTGAAGCTGAGGCTTGGTACTTGACTCGGAACATGCCCAGCAGGGCATCGTTGATTGTTTGCTGCAGTGAGGGGCGATAGGGAGGTGAGAAAAGAGGGGAGGAAGTCAGTGGGGTGATGTGTGTAGGGAAGGGAGAAAAGGGCAGGACAAGGAATGGCAGGGCAGGGCAAGCTCTAAAAGGTAAGCACTCACGTTCTTGAGGTAAGCACTCACGTTCTTGAGGTAAGCACTCACGTTCTTGAGGTAAGCTGCACCAAAGGCGCGTGTGAGCTTGATCTTGCCCTTTAGCCGCCCCCTCTTGATGACGTCACTGTCGGCATGCGCCTGCTGCACCCGCCGCACCTCCTGTAGTTTGCATGGGGGACGGGGTGCGAGGGGTGTTGTTCGTTACGGGCATTGCATGTTATAAATTACTGTTAGCCTGTCGTGCGTGTGTTCTAACGGGAGGCAGGTTGTACCTCTTTGTTGTGAGTTCATTTCCATGGCCCCAAAGTGGAAACTCACAGCAGCATCAGTTGTGACGTGAAGCGTCCGGAACTTTTGAGGCGCCTCAAAAGTTGTGAAGTGTCCGGAACTGCATGATGTCGTGGTTTGAGTCGACTCATTTTGTTCCTGTGAGTCGACTTAAAACGGAACTTCATAAGAGTCACTCGGGGGAAGAGAGGTAGGTCTCCCTCTTTCATTACTCGAAAGGAGAAATGCGAGGAGGGGAGGAGGGTGATAGAAGAAGAGAGTGGACTCACAGCAGCATTGCTCGTGTTGTGGTCCACTGTCAGTCTCTCTGCCTTACACCTCCACACTCCCCCTCCTCTGCCTCCTCTCTTCTCTCCTCCTGCTTCCCCTCCTCCTGCACCCCTGCTTCCCGCACTTTCCATTTCCCCAACAGCCCCACTAATCTCACCCCTCTCCCATTTCTCCCCCTTCTCCCACATATCCCCCGTTTCCCCCACTTTCTCTCTTCTGCCACTCCCTTTGCTGCTACCACTCCCCTCTCCCTCCCCTCTTCCACCACTCCCCCATCCCCCACTTCCCCCTCGCCCACGTCCCCCTTCCCCGCTTCTCCTCCTTCCGCTCACACGGCTAGCACTCCCTCCCCCTCCCTCTCCTGCCCCTCTCCTCAACACCCCCCGCCATCCCCTCCCCACCTCTTCCCCCCTTACAATCACCGCCCTACTATCCCCCAAATTAATCACATAAACATCGGTCCCTGTGACTATAGCAGCAACTAGAGACGCCCCTCCTACCGCATACTCTGGCTGGTCTTTAGAGACGTCTTTAACTCGCGTCAGAAAGGAGGACTCGGTAGAGGCAAGGGCGCGTTCTAAGGCGCCTAAGATCATTTGGTGCCTTCTGTGGTCGTTACCTGGCTCTTGCAAGGCCTTTGGCACATGGAAAGGGTGCTGCTGCTGCTGCCGTTCCTGGTGGTGATGGTGGTGGTGGTGGTGGTGCTGCTGCTGCTGCTGCGACTGTTTCTGACTATGTCCCACGACTTGTTTGATCCCCTTCCCTTCCTCCTTCCCTTCTCCATTTCCTTCTCCCTCCTTCTCTCCCCTCAGCTTTCCATTCTGAGAAGCATCAGACCCTCTCTCCTGCTGCACCCCCTGTGTCTTTTCAGATGCACCCTCCTGGCCCATTCTGCGATCCTGGTTATCCACAGGGAATGCTTCTTGGTCATCCTGGTTATCAGAAGCTTCCGACCAATCAGAGTGGCTTCGCTCCCTTGGGAATGCTTTCCTGCTCGCCCTCCCCACCTCACCCAACGTCCACCTTAGCTTACCCTTGGACTCATTCCCGCCCGTTCCCTCACACGCACCCTCCTGCTCCAATCCCTCTGTCTCTTCCGAAGCTTCTGACCAATCAGAGCGGCTTCGGTCCCTCGGGAACGCTTTCCTACTCGCCCTGCCCATCTTACGCACCATCCACCTCATCTTTCCTTTCAACTCACCCCCACCTGCTGCACTCTCACACTCACACCCACACTCACACTTCCCTTCCAAACCACCAGATGCACTATGGCCTTCTTGCCCCCTCCCACTCTCCGTGCATGCTTGACAGTGCAGGCCGCATGTGAGATGCTGGCCGTTTCTGTGACACTCCTGGGAGGGCACGGAGGGCAAGCCGCCGCCACCACAACCGTCCAGGTGCAGAGAATTTACTTGAGAGTCCAGGTGCAGTGTATGCAAGCCGCACGCGTCCAGCTGGTGGCACAGTGCGGTGTAGAGGTGTGCGAGCAGGTAATCTACGGCGTGGTGCTCTGCAAAGCCGTCATACACCGCTGCAAAGACAAAGCCCCGGGAGGGTGAGACGAGCACGTGGGAGCGGTCCTCTCCTGCCATTGCCACCGCCTCTTCTTGCTCTCGCTGCCGTTGGTGTTGCTGCTCATCCTTCTGCTTCTGATCTTGTCGTTGCTGCTGGCCCTGCTGCTGCTGCTGCTGCTGCTGCTGCCCCTGATGCTGCCCCTGCTGTTCTTGTTGCTTCTGTGCCAGCTTCAAAGCCTCCGCTGATGCTCCAGCTGTAGCAGAAGCACCACCAGCAGCAGCAGCAACGCCATCCATGCGCCAAGCCACCAAAGCCTCTGCAGCAATACCCCGCCCTGCCTCATCCCCCTTCACCCTCCCACCTCCACCTCCTCCTCCTCCTGCTTCCCTCGCTATACTCACCCCCCCCTCGTCATTGTCACACCTCGATTCAGCGGGACCACCTCCGAAACAGCACAGAAAACCACCGCCTCGGCCCGGTCGTCTCCTTCTCCCTGCGCCTTCTCCCGCCTTCTCCCCCTCCCCGTCCTCCGTTCCCCTCTCCTCACTGCCTTCTCCCGGCCCCCGCTCCTGCACCTTCCCCTGCGCCTGCTCCTGCTCCTGCGCCTGTGTCTGCGCCTGCGAATTTGCCTCCGCCTGCCCCTGCGCCTGCACCTGCTCCGCCTCCGCCTCCGCCCTGCGGAACGGGTGCGTGAGCGCGGACCAAGCGAACCCGGGGGACGATCTCAGCGGGCAGTACGGTGCGAGGCGCACTCCCCCGTCCGCCTCCCCGCTTCCGCCTGTCGTGTCGTTTCCGCCAGCCGCATCTCCGCAAGTCGGTGCATTTCCGTCAGGCGAGCGCCCATGGTCCCCCGCGAAGGGGTCGTTCGCCGCAATGCACGCGCCGTGGATCCTCACCACCGCCGTCCACCGCCGCCCGGACCTTCCGCCGCAGCCAGGCCCGCCGATTCCGGCACCAGGGCCGCCGCCCCCGCCACCGGCGCGGGCGACAGTCCCGCGCGTGACAGCAGAGGCGGCGGCGTCGTTCTCGCCTGCTTTCATTCCTTGACTATCAAGCGGGGAGCTGCAAGCAGCAGTACGGTGGTTTCGCCGTCGTTCTGGCTGCTATGCGTAATACGCCTAATGTGGTTTAAGAAGTTGATCAGGTTAGCAGCGGTGCTCCGCGATCAGCGTATTTTCGGCTGCCGCGTCGGTTACGGAACACACTGCTTTGTACTATACTGAGCGCACTTATGTGCTACGGGAGGAAGAGTATTGCTGGATAAACGGGTTCTGACTGCTCTGCTTTGCAGGATGTCTCTAATTACAGGAAGGCAGTGAGTGGTGAGGGGCTGACTTGCTGGCGCGGTGCGAATGCGGCAATCAGGAAAAGTCACAACCATTCAATCTCTCTCAGAACCCTATTTAACCGATGTAGAACAAGAGCGAACCATTTTGCCCCGCAAAGCGTTCACCCAAACCGCGATCTTCATTGCCAGGGTTTGAGTGTTGTGGTGGAGGTCATCCACGAAAGTTCACTGTTCACGAAAGATTGTTATGGTCGGACGAACAGTAACAAAAAATTACGAGTCAGCGAAAGTCCAGCGTTGGAGAGAGGAAGGAGAATTACTGGTCGGCGAAACGAATCCAGTGTGCTTATCCAATGTGCTTCGCAATTTATGAACAAATGGAGATCGACCACGTAAGCTGATATTCCTCCAATTAAGGTCCCCCAGTTTATCAATAAGACGAGGACGAAAGCAATATATTTCCATACAGTTTGTGATCATAAGCTGCTAGTGAAGCGAACCATGACGAGGACACAATAGAGGTGAACTTACCCCCTAGATTGCTACTGGATGTGAAGAAACTAGAGGTTCTAGCATAGACATAATTCCTGGAGACCCTGTCGTTGTAAACAGACCCTGGTTCAAACATAGAATACTCCTAGTTTCCTGTATTTGAGGCAAACACGCCTCTAGAGGTATGCGTGTTTCGTCTCTAATCCTCGTCGTTAGCTTGTTCGCCAGTTATGCGTCTCCAGTCGTGAATCTGGTATCGCGTGGATCGCTGTGCGCAGCTTGCTGCATCTCTCTATGATCAACAGCATCAAGCCTTGCTTGTTACGCTTGAAAACACAAAGAAGCCGGTTTTTGCTGGCAGACTCATTTTCGACTGTTTCTATCGCAAGAATGAACCAGCTGAACCTCGAGCCGCCAGAGAAGCCGCTTCCAGGTGACTGCTGCGGTAGCGGTTGCAGCCCGTGCGTGTGGGAGACGTATTACGAGGAGCTGGAGAAATTCAACGCAGCTAAAGCCAAGGCTGAAGCCGAACCGAAGGGTGTGATGATGAGTCAATCGCAGAAAACGGAGTCATGTACCGCTCCTTGTCAACAAAAATGACATCTAATCTTCTGTACGGTACAACAAATGCTGTTGACGTACCGTACCTCTTTTCATTGTTCACTGACCCTTGCCTTGTTGAATTTTCGCTCTAATCCAGTCTGCTTCATACACAAGTCAAGCAACTCTGCTTGATAGATAAGGGTTTCAAAACTAGAAGCTTATGACCAAACCGTCTAACGTTTCAGAAAACCAAAGCGTTGCTCCCCTCTCCCCCCCACCCCTGAGCTACCACATCCAACTGAGCCTCCCCCACTGCCTTAGCCTGTTCCCCATGTGCCATTTCAGTCAACTCCGAAGTCACTTATTGGGTCGACTCAGAAATCCAGAGCATTGCTTCCCCCGCCTGAACTACCACATCCAACCGAGCCTCCCCCGCCGCTTGAACCTGCTGCTCCCCCTGTGGCATCGATCGGGGGTGGGTGTGCCTCCTCCACCACTATCTGTCGCTTTCTGTTCACTGCTCTCAGCACCAGAGTGGTCACAGCCGGCATACGAGGCACCTGATAGGGGAAGAGGACATCATGAGAGGCAAGAAACGAACTAAGAGCCGGTGGCATCAATGTGTTGGCATACGAGGCACCTGCAGAAGTAATCAATAAACCTCAGAATTCGAAACAACTCATTGTCGTTTTCCTGCGTTGAATCTAGCGTACCTGGGTATTGACATGGTCACTGACTCACTGTTGCCATGCAGGTCACATTATGTCCCTGCTGCAACGTTCCCTGGTTGACGGCCCTGATATGACTGATTACTTTTTTCAGAATCAGATGCAATGCAATGCCAGTGGGCTTACCAGGGAGTTGTGCATGGAGACATTGCGGATGCGTATGAGACCCAGAGCGTCCTTGTATCGGAGATACCACTGGCCAGCTCTGCATCGTCCTCTGCCCTCTTCAGCACAGCTCAGCACACCACCACTCCAATACTTCGAAAATGCTTACATACCAGGGAGTTCTGCACGGAGACTTTGCGGATGCGAATGAGGCCCAAGGCGTCCTTGTAGTCCGAGATGCCACTGGCCATCTCTGCATTGTCCTCTGCAGCACAGAACCAGCCAATCACACACAGATTTAGTAAAAATTGTGAAGAATTGGCATGCAGTTGTAGAAACAAGCACACGAGAAAGTGCATGCACACATGCACACATGCACACAGTGCGGAATGTATGAGAGGTAATGAGATAGGCCATACCTTCCAGAGCATCGCCAGCACCACGTCTGCTGCATGCTGCAGCCTCAGTCTCAGCAGCACATTCAAAGCACTACCAATGTACACATGCATGCCTGCACACACTGCACCCTATTCACCACCTACCTTCCAGTGCTTCCATTGCCAACTCCACGTCTGCTGCATGCTGCAGTCTCAGTCTCAGCAGCACGTTTGAGAGAAGCACGCACTACGAATGCGCACTTTATGCATGCACAGTCACCAGGCTCCCCCCTACCTTCCAGAGCCTCCATCGCCAACACCACGTCTGCTACGTGCTGCAGTCTCAGCAGAACATTTGAAAAAACGCACTACACATGCACACTTCATGATGCATTCACCAGCTACCACCCACCTTCCAGTGCTTCCATCGCCAGTACCACGTCTGCTGCATGCTGCAGCCTCAGCAGCACATGTGGAGGAACGATCCCTTTATCTCTAGGCACTGTTACAAGGACCGTCACTGGTAAAGTGCGGACACAGCCTTTCAACCACTGCAGCCATGCAAGTACCTGCGAGGCCTGCAGGGTTGGAAACGGAGAAATTCAAGAACGAAGCAGGAAATTTCACGGAACAATGAATTTTGTTACAGGTAAATAGGTAAATGATTCATTCAACCGTTCTCGTTCAGTTCCCACTTTGATTGAGTATCCCCGTCTCGATTCCATTTCTGGACTCACCTGGGCATCATTCCCTGACAGCAGCAACGCGGGAGGAGCTCCCAGAGAATGCACACCAATGCGACCCACCCTTCCCCCCCCTTCTCCCCCTCGCCCGCCACCTCCGCTTCCTCCTCCTCTCCCTTCCATGCCTCGTTCCCCAATTCCTGTAGACCCCCCAGGTGTGGGGGAGTCAATGGAGGAGAGGAAGCCTGACACACGGCCAAAGAAGCCTTGTGTGAAATCTGACGCTGATCCCGAGCCCTCCTCTTCCCCCTGATGCTGCTGCTGCTGCTGCTGCTGGTGTTGCTGCTGCGCCTGCTGAGCGCAGTTGCCATCTGTCCCTATCATCATCACCGCATCTACCCCCATGGGTACACACGTGCACAGCTGCTGCGCGTGCCTTAGCGACGGCCGGGACAGCGGTGCGCGGAGGTCAAACTCGGTGCAGTATGGTACAGACGCACCTACCGGCCCTCCTAATCCCACTCCGGTAAACTGGGGAGCCAAGTGCTTATATTGCCATGCTATTCTTAACCCATCACCCCCCTTTCCCCCCTCCCCCACACTTTCTCCCCCTCCGACTCCCCCTGCTCTTCTCTCCTCCTGCGACCAACCCAGGCCTTGAGGCTCGGAAAGCCCTCCCGGACCTGCCCGGCCAACCGGACCTGCGAGCGCTCCCGAACCTGCCATTCCCTCGGCTGGCGCCGGGAGCGTGGCGAGAAAGGCTTGGGGATCGGGGAGGGGCGAGAGGAGGAGGAGTGGGTGGGAGTGGGAGAGGCCTTGAGAGAGAAAGTAGCGGAGGAGGATGAGGTGGAGGGGTGAGAGAGGGTCCTCTAGCAATAGGACGATACCGCCCACTGGATAGCCCCCTCCTAGGGCTTGTGGTTAGATGGATTGAGAGAAGAGGGTGAGGGGGAAGAGGAGGTAGAGAAGGGCGAACATGAAGGGACGGGGAAGGGGGTGATGTGAAGAGAAGGAGAAGGGGAGGAAGGAGTAGCGGAGGAAGGAGAAGCGGGGGCAGTTTGGGGAAAGAGGGGGAGCATGGACCGGTTAAGGAAGCCACAGCAGGTTGGTTGGACAATGGTGCTTGGGAAGAGAGGCAATCTGCATGGGGAAAACATGATGATTCCTGTGCTCTCTGTGGTTCCTGTGGCTGTTCCTCCACTGCTAATAACGCTACCAACTCGTCCGGTCGTCGTTATTCCCGCCGTCGCGGGACGCCCTCGGCGAATGAAGCTACTCGCGCCGGCCATGACGATCGTGGATATGCAAACTGTAGAATGCTAGCTAATTCCGCGTCGCGACTCGACTACGATTAGTCGGAAATGCTCTCACACTCATGGTTCAACACATGTAGCAGAAGCTTTGTGTCCGCGAAGTGAAGACCCTATCCGGTAACAGTTTGTAACTGTTGTGAAATCAAAACATTTACTACAAGCAAATAATGATTTCCAGTTGGGTGATACATGTGCAGAAACATACATTCATATCTAAACCACCCATATCAAAGCTTTGATAAACAACTCATATGAGCCAACCAAAAGTCACTAATGATAAACAATTGTCAGGATTGACAGAAATTTAAAATGATATGTGACATGCATGCTTAGGGTACATTCCGCGCTAGACACTTTCTCAAAGAAAGTGTCCCAATCGATTTTGGCCCGAGTCGCCCTCAAATGTCTCGAGTCCAGATGTCCCAATCGACCAATGTACCGCGACATTGTACGACCAGGGCAACAATTATGTGTGATCAAATATGATTGGTGATTTCTGGTGGGGGCCCAGGGTTTAGCCGCGTCATACGCACCACCACTGCCAGGCCCGCAAATGAACATGGGGGGTGGCGGGGGAGGTCGCGGGGTGTTACCGACGGCTGCGCAACCCCCAATAATTGCCATACACAAAATTACGATGGCCGCAGTACATCACAGACAAGCACAACATAAAGCAAACAGTGCTCAATTCGAGCCACAACGCTCGCAAGATCTACGCACCATGGCTGAGCCAAGGCCCATCCCGTTCATCGTACGCCTACTTGTCGCCTGGGTCACGTACTACTACACAATCTTCCACGAGACAGTCGCCAAGTCCTTTGTCGGACTGATTGAGGCTGGTATACTCGATGACGCGGACGAGCATTCCTCGTCTCTTGGGGACGACAACGCGGAGAATGTCAAACATTATATATGTTGTGTTAGTTTAGGCTACAGTGGGTTAGCCTATAGGGGGTACACAATTCTAGGGTTAGGTACTTGTACTCTTTTCATTGCTAGTTCATCCATTCCTGTTCAGTGATTCCAACATGGTATAGAGCAGGTCCTTCATAGGACCGAAATTTTCTAAGGGCCCACCACTACGTAACTACCTACCTACCTACCTACCCGTGCCCTAGGGCGCCTCGGCGTGTCACGCCCCTAGAGGCCCCTCTTGACGGCCCCGCGCTAGCCCCGTTCAGGCCCCGTCGGCCCCTTTAAGGCCCCGTTCAGGCCCCGCGCTAGCCCCGTTTAGGCCCCGTCGGCCCCGTTTCAGGCCCCGTCGGCCCCACGCTAGCCCCCCTCAGGCCCCGTCGACCCGCGCTAGCCCCGTTTCAGGCCCCGTCGGCCCCTTTTCAGGCCCCGTCGGCCCCGCGCTAGCCCCTCTCAGGCCCCGTCGGCCCGCGCTAGCCCCGTTTCAGGCCCCGTCGGCCCCGTTTCAGGCCCCGTCGGCCCCGCGCTAGCCCCTCTCAGGCCCCGTCGGCCCGCGCTAGCCCCGTTTCAGGCCCCGTCGGCCCGCGCTAGCCCCGTCTCAGGCCCCGTAGGCCCCGCGCTAGCCCCTCTCAGGCCCCGTCGGCCCCGCGCTAGCCCCATTCAGGCCCCGATCGGGCCCGCGCTAGCCCCGTTTCAGGCCCCCTTCGGCCCCGTTTCAGGCCCCGTCGGCCCCGCGCTAGCCCCGTTCAGGCCCCGTCGGCCCCTTGCTAGCCCCGTCAAGGCCCCGTTTGGCCCCGCGCTAGCCCCACTCAGGCCCCGATCGGCCCCGCGCTCGCCCCTCTAGGGCCCCAACCGGCCCCGTGCCTACCTCGCCGACCCGTGCCCACCACCCAGAGGCCCCGGGCGGCCCGTTCCCGCCGCAGCACAAGAGGGAAAGCGGGCGGCCCGTCCCCGCCGTGACCTGAGCCGAGCCGCGCGCCCCGAGCCGAGCCGCGCCACCCAGCCGAGCCGCGACCCGACCTGAACCGAGCCGCGCCGCCCTGCCCTACCTGGTTCGTCCTACCTGCTTCTCCTACCGCTACTGCTGCTATTTCTACTGTTCCTATGGCTAGCCCACAGGTTCTCGTGTTCGATGCTGAGGGCCGCCCTGTGAAGTTTGACACCTGGCTCGATGACCTGCACCTCTACCTACAGCTCACAGCCAAGGATGACATCTCACTGTACGATCACGCCCTAGGCCTTGTCACTGCCCCTGCTGCTACTGCTGACAGCACTGCTCGCTCACAGTGGCAGACTCGTGATGCCCACGCTCGCTTCGCCATTCGCAACTCCCTGCCGATAGACGAACGCGAGCACTTTGGTCAGCACAAGACTGCACCGGCACTGTACACAGCTGTAGTTGCTCGCTACTCCTCACCTGCCTCTGCCGCACTAGGCCGTCTCTCCCTCCCCTACCTGTTTCCCGACCTGGCCTCCTTTCACACAGTCGCTGACCTCATCACGCACCTCCGTACTAGTGAGGCCCGCTTCCGTGCCGCCATGCCTGCTGAGTTCCTTGCCACGCACCCCCCTCCACTCTGGCTCACTCTCTATCACCTAGTCACCCGCCTCCCTGACACACTGCGTGCTGTCAGGGACCACTTCCTAGCTCGTTGCCCCACTGAGCTCACCATTGCCCTCCTCGAGAAGGAGCTACTTGCAGCTGAGGCTAGCATAGTCGCTGTAGGTGCCTCTCGTGGCGACCCCCGTACCCCGTTCTTTGAGGGGTGTTCTCCTTCCCCCCTGCTTCCCTCTGTCGCCTCTGCTGCTGCTGTCGACCTTCTTGGTACTGAGAAGGTCGGCACTGCGTCTGCCTCGAGCGGACGCCGCAGCGGCAAGGGCAAAGGGGGCAAGGGTAGTGGCGGTGACGGCGGGGGAGGCGGCGGTGGGGGCGGTGGAGGCAGTGGGGGTGGTGGCTCGGCTGGAGGGGCGAGTGGTAGCGGTGGGGGTGGTGGCGGCAGCGGCGGGGGAGGTGGCAGGAGTGGAGGCGGCGGTTGGGGTGGCGGTGGACGAGGCGGCGGCAGGGGTTGGGGTGGTCGAGGAGGTGGCAGCGGTGGTGGTGGCCGTGGAGGCGCTGGCGGTGGCCAGGGCCAGCAGCACACTCTCTCGCCCCAGGAGGTCCGTGAGTGGTACTCTCAGCACGGGGGTGGGGGTGGTCTTAGCTGCACGTACGTCATTCGCACTGGTGACCGCACTGGTCAGCAGTGTGGACGACCGCACGCCACACAGCGCTGCTTCTCTCGTCTCGACGACGCTTGGCGTGTTCAGTTCCCTCAGGCCACTGAGCTGCCCCGCTGGCTTGATCTCCTGAAGAAGGGGATTGATATCTATGCTCTAGACTTTGATGCTATTCTATCTGCCATGTATGTGATGTCTACTAGTGGAGAGGGTGCTGAGTACTTGTGTGTGCCGCCCGACCCGGGCATTAGGGCCAGTGCGTCTGCCGCTCCAGGTACTCACGTGTCGGCTACCCCAGGTGCTGGTGAGGCTGCTGCTCTAGGTGCTCGTGTGTCTCCCCCCCTTGGTACTGCGTCGACTGCCGCACTGCACACCTTCACACTGGACTCAGGTGCTTCTCGCTGCTTCTTTCGTGACCGCACTGCCCTTGAGCCGCTTGCTCGACCAGTTGCTGTCTCCCTTGCTGACCCCTCTGGGGGTCCGGTCATTGCGACCTCTTCCACTGTCCTTCCCTGCCCTGCGGTCCCGTCGGGCACACTGTCAGGTCTCCACCTCCCCTCGTTCTCTACGAACTTGGTGGCAGGCTGTGCACTCCAGGACGGGGGTGTTCACCAGTTCACCCCTGCCTACGAGCGCGTGACACACTGCACGTGTGCTCGTACGGGCCGTCACTTGGCTACCTTCACTCGGCAGCCGGGGTCGGACCTGTACACACTGACTACTGAGTCCCCTCAGGTTGCTGCGACTGCGTCCGCGTCCGCGTCAGGTCAGCTGTCCGCCCCCTGCTCGTGTCGCTCTTTGGCACACGAGACTGTCCTCTGGCACCACCGCCTTGGCCACCCGTCTGTGCAGCGGCTTCGTGCCATGCACTCCAGGTACCTTGTCTCTGGCCTGCCCAGGGTCCTTCCTCCTCTCCCACCCTCGCCTGCTCCTACCTGTCTCCCCTGTGTCGAGGGACGGCAGCGCGCCGCTCCTCACTCCTCCTCGTTCCCCCCGACGACTGCTCCCTTGCAGACACTCCACATGGACGTGTGGGGCCCAGCCCGCGTCCGTGGTCAGGTTCAGGAGAGGTACTTCCTGATAGTTGTTGACGACTACTCGCGCTACACCTCGGTCTTCCCCTTGCGCACCAAGGGTGAGGTCCCTGATGTCTTGATCCCTTGGATCCGCAGAGCCCGTCTCCAGCTCAGCGAGCGTTTTCACTCGGACTTTCCTGTCCTGCGCTTGCACTCTGACAGAGGTGGTGAGTTCTCCTCCGACCTCTTGGCAGCCTACTGTGCTGAG